GTCCAATTTCTCTAACCGGACAAGAGAGACTCGGAACGAGGGGAATTTGAAAAAGATGTCGCGGATTGTAAAGGAATCGATGTTCGAAAGTTATAAGAGGAATTTGATCGTAGCTCACTTTCGATAGTTTCGCAGTAAATTTCTCAAACACTCCTCGTGATACCGTATCGCAGTTTCAATAAAAGATATTTCCGAGCATAAAACGCCCCTGCTTCTTGTGTTCGATCTACCTCAGATTTCATCGTTCTGCACTCGACGTTACCTTTCACGTTTTCCCTCAGACCTTTCCCAATCCCCCTCCTCTTCGTAGCTTTAAGAAAACTGTGAAAAATCAATTGCCCTGAAGCGTTTCGCTATGTACCCGGTTGTTCCCCATTAATCCGCGTACGTCGAACGATTACAACGAGATCGACAGAGATAGTGTGAGAGAGTGAGTTAGAGTGAGAGAGAAGGCGAACTCTAACGTGGTTTTAATCGATTAATTCGAGTTAATCGAATTGGCATTTGCAAGGCTTCCCTCTACGTCCGTTCGTTCTCCCTCGGGTTATTAAGGATTTCCCGGTGAAAAGTGCGGGGTGGTTGGAAAAAAGAAATTGGATTCCGCAGCTTGCTCACTAATTAAAACGCGATCGAGGAGAATGAATCGCGCGAGGCCTTTTCGTTGGCCATCTCCTCGACAGTTTGAGCGCGTGTTCTCTCGCGTGGCTAAAAATCAAATTGGATTGCCGGGGAGAATAAGAAGTTGGTAAAGACGTATTTAACGAGATCAACGACTTGGAAGGAATTTACTTCGGAATCGGTAACGATCTTGAGCATTGTCGCGGGAAATGAAGACAGTTTCAAAAGTCCACCCTAATGACGTCTCATTAGACTATAATTAGGTAGGGACAATATACACAGGGTGGTCCGGAAATCGTGGTACAACCGGGAACGAAGTGATTTTTTGAGTAAAGGTAAATCGAAAATGTGAGATCTAATTTGAATGTACACTAACTTTCGAATAAACAATTTTTGTTAACGTGACTTTACCGTCCTAACGATAATCGAAATCATCAATTAAAAGACAATATCATACAGGTGGTTGAACAAGCGAAGAATTTGAATACGTTACCGTCGTTCCGTGCTTTTTTCAAACGGACGATATTTTCAGCAGTTTTTCAATTCATAAAATAAACACGTTATTTTATACTATAGATACTAAATCCACTGACAGAAATAGCGTTGAATTCGATTTACTTTCACACGAGCAATCACTTTTTCTTCGGTTGCACCGCGATTTCTAGAACACCCGGTGTATACACGAAGAAAAATCCTTATATCCTGGAATAAATAAGTCAATTTCGTCTCTGTCGGTTCAACGACCGTTCCCAGCATGCGCGCAATGGCCGATCTAATTTTAATCATCCGATATTGCTACATCATCCTTAAAACTTTCAGCAGAGAGCGCACAGAGAGACAGAGAGAGAGAGAGAGAGAGAGAAGGGTAGGGATTACATCACACCACATTTAATAAGCTTCTCAATTTCTCTCTAGAGGGAGAAAGAGATCGGTATCCTAGACGCTGCTATATAATTTCTTTCTTGCTCGTGAGCTAATTAAGAAACTAAATTAGAAAATAGATCGGGGGGATAATTCGCGTTCGCGTAATTGAATGCTCGAACAGCGCGAAAAGACCGGTGGAACAATGGAAGGGTAGGTGGAACGGTAAACAAAATGAAAAAAAAAAAAAGTCTACATTGAAAGAGATTGGGGTAGAGAAACATGAAAGGGACAAAGATAGAATGAACGAAGAGAGCAAAAATTGGTCAACCTGACGAAGCGTATAAACAACAAAGCGCAATCGTTTTAACGGGGTCGGTCGGTTAAAATTCACGTATTCGAGCCGCGGGGAAATCGCGTCGGGGATAGAAAACGAGAAACGAACAATCAACAGAATCCTGAGCGCCCTCGAATCGTGACGTTTTAATAAATTTCGGACGCGTCCTCCACTGCCTTCCCTTCCTGTCCTCTGTCGAATTTGTTGTTTTATTTTTTGTCCTCTTTTTTCTCTTTTTTTTTAATTCTCTGGCTACACGCTCGCGCCGGCCAATACGTCTCCTATTCTCTATCTTCCTCTGTTCAACGGCCAACCGGATAAAACGAGGAACAGAGAAACAAAGAGAGAGAGAGAGAGAAAGAGAGTAGAAGCACTTGAAGCGTGCACACGCTTCAAAAGAGCGTGCTTGTATCACGCAGAGAAGCGCTTAAAACTCGATCTCCACACTCTCGTTCACGCGCATTCGTCCGTAACGGAAGCGTCCTGTCTCTCCAGAAGGGGCGACGGATGAGCAAAAGTGTATTCGGGGGGATGGCGATGGTTTTGTCCCGTGTTTACAGTGTCCCGTCACACCTGATCCTATAACAGACTCATGGACGGTCGTGTCAGCTTGGCGCCGGTGGTCGTGCAAGTTAGGACAGGGGACGGTCTGGTAAACGAAAGGTGGCTTCTTATAGTGGTAGTGAAACGTCGTCTACGTATACGTACAATCACCTAGAGCCTACGAGATAGGCGAACGAGTAGGGGTAACTTAAAATTCTCCTGGTTGTGTCAGGCTATGTGGTATAGAGAGATCGTATAAAGGTTCCAGCTGGTAGACAGGTATAGGAAGTGAGAATGTGTGAGAGAAAGAGAGGTGGAAGTTTCGTGCTTCATCCCCCCCGTACAATCCATAACCAACCACGATGCATACCTCATCCCTGCCACCGCTCATAACCGCCTCGGAGCCCTGGTAAACAATATGGGATAGAACATGCTTGTAAGCTGGTCACGTCTGACGCGTCACGTTCTGCCATTTGCAGAGGCCAAAGCTGAGATAGCCGGTCCCTCGGAGAAATTCGTGAGGCCAGGTAGCACCCTGCAGCTTCACTGCCTTGTGAAAAAATCGACCGAGACGCCATCCTATCTATTCTGGTACCATAACTTCCGGATGATCAACTACGACGTGGAGCAGGGGGTCAATGTCAGCACCGATCTGACAGGACGTGAAAGCTGGCTAGAGGTGCCC